TACTCCAAGCAGCAGCAGCAGCAGCAGCAGCAGCAGCAGCAGCAGCAGCAGTAACAGCGGAAACAGTAACAGGCTAGATGCTAGGTGTGGGCTGGGCTTACCAGCCAGAGCCTATCTTATCCTGTTCTGTCTCAGGTTTCTGCAGACCCCTTGGTCCAGCTCCTTTGGGTTTCCCATTGTAGCAACCATATTGTCTCTCACAGTTAGCCTGTATATCTAGTTAGGTATATGGAAGCCTCAGGTCTACTCTTAGCCTCAAAAGTCAGGATGTTGGTCCAATATTGCATTGTTCACCTACAGATTCCATATTTAAAATCTATTCCCTCCTCCCAAGGTCAGCTCTTCTCATCCCAGCTTTGTGGAAAGGATAATGATCTCTGTTCCTTGGATCACCCAGACACAGAGTTCTCCTGTGCGCTAGTCTTAGGCCTATTGGACCAAACTATGGAAACCCTCACTCCAGTGGGCATGCAGAAGTTATAGAAGCCTCAAGATTGGGGCTGCCATGCAAGGCTTCAATGATTACTCTGTCTACTGAGAACTCCGGGTGATTCTTTGAAGGCACGGTGAGGAAACCCTATGAAAGCAGTGTTGACAAAATTCATTCAAGTTATCATGTGTCATGGTGGCTTATTAATTTTCATTGCTGTATTGTATCCCACTGTATTAATGTACCCCCTTGCCCCAAATATTAGTGTTGATGGATATTTTGGTTGTTTCCCATTTGGTGTAATTATTTTAATATATACTATGTTGCCATAGACATTACTTTACATATTGAAAAACAGAACAGGACCCTGATTCTCTGGATTAATCCATCATCCTTACAATAGTTCTTGAGGTCCTGTTACTTCTCTAATGTAATGCCTACTACTCTCCCCGTTGATTATTCCATCCAGTCATACCAAACTGAACACTCATCAAACATGCCACACACCTTCCTATCATAGAGCCATTGCACTGGCTATTCCTTCTGCCTGGAATGTTCTCCCAAGATCTCTAGAGGGCTTTCTCCCTCCCCTCTGTAAGTCTGCTTCCATGCCCCCTGCTGAGACCTACTTGACCATACTTTTAAATTCCAATTTGCTTTCCTAACACTCATTCCCCTCTGTCCTCCTCTACTTCTATTCTCCATACAATTATCAGGTATACATTTACATTTATACATATGCTACACTATGTTTATGATTTAGTCTCCCTCTCCTGGCTAGATGGACAGGCTCTAGGACAGGGATCTTTATAAAGATGAAGTCATTCATGTAGGCTAAGTGCCTAGAACAGTGCCCTGCACCTAGTAGTATTTTGATGAATACTTGTGGAAGGAAAGAGGGGAGGAATGAATGAATGAAGGAAAGGAGGAAGGGAGGGAGAAAGGGAGGGAGGGAGGGAAGGGAAGAAGGAAGAAAAGAAATAAGGGAGGGAGAAGAGAGGAAGGAAGGGAGAGAGGGAGGAAGAGAGGAAGACAGGGATTTTGCCACAAAGAGGAAGTGATAACAGTAGGTAGATGGAATCAGGGTGAGGGAACAGGCATGGTGGACCATACCTGTACTCCCAGCACTTTGGGAGGCCAAGGCAGGAGGATCGCTTCATCCCAGGAGTTCGAGACCAGCCTGGGCAACATAGTGAGACTTTATCTCTACAAAAACTCAAAAAATTTGCCGGATGTGGTGGCACATGCCTGTAGTCCCAGCTACTTTGAAGGCTGAGGTGGAAAGATCGTATGAGCCCAGGAAGTCGAAGCTGCAGTGAGCCGTGAGAGTGCCATTGCACTCCAGCCTGGGCAACAGAGTGAAACCCCCAACTGAAAAGAAAAAAAGAAAAAAAAAAAAAGATTAAGGAATGAGGGTAAGGATTTTCTAAGATGGGAGATACTTGAACATATCTCACTTCTGAGGAAGGGAGCCAGAAAAGGCTGAAAGTAAGAGAATGGACTGAACCAATTCTGAGTGTATGAGAAGTGAGATCTAGAACACAAGTGGTGGGATTCTCACTAGACCAGTCAGTCTGGGACAGCAAAATGCAGCTTTAAACCCTTGTGAAAATTTTATCAAGTCTCCCGCAAAAGTGGGCAGACCAAAAAATGTCTGTAGGATTTTTATTGCTGTGTAATAGTTGGCTTTTGGGGTACTGAGTTTCCTTCCAGATGGTTGGGCCTGGTGATTTTAAATATATATTTATTTGTGGAGACAAGGTCTATGTTTCCCAGGCTGGTCTCAAACTCCTGGACTCAAGCGATCCTCCCACCTCGGCCTCCCAAAGTGCTGGGATTACAGATGTGAGCCACTGTGCCCAGCTGGGGCCTGGTGATTTCTAATTTACACTCCTCCCCACTCGATCGCCAACCCCAATCTGTCAGCCCTGGGCAGGTCAAGGAATGACCTTTATAACTAGAAGGGATGAAGAAAGGATGGATGCCAATGCAGGTAAGTAACAAGCTTATTGGTAGATTCTAGATGGAAGTGCTGGTCTGGGTGTCTTTTGTTTATTCATTGTTTCTCACAGAAGTGGGAGATGAGGTCATTTGCTATGATTTACTTGTGCTAGATAGAGGGGTTGGAAGTATAAGGAGAATGGAGGTTGGATATTTTTATTATGAAGAATGGGAGAATTTTAGGAATTGCTGCTGTGGTGAAAGGTAGAGAAAATTCACTAGGGAAGCATGGAAGAATTATGTCTAGTTCAGGTCAATGATGTAAATTTTAGTTGCTAGAATCTGCCCAGTTGTGTAATTTGCAGCCCAGGTGCAGGCATAGAGCCTTAACCTCAGAGCTGAGGGTTTTTTTGAGCAGGTGAGATAGAACAATGGGGCAAATGATCCAGGGTAGCAAAAGCATCTTGGCTGAAGCGATGGACAAGGAGGTCAAAGTCAGATGTGGAAGGGAATAAAGATATAAAAGCACCAATAGGAATAAGATAACGAGTTCTATGGTCTACAGCAGTATTATCAAATTTTAATGTGTGTACGAATCGCTTGGGAAGGGCCAGATCTTGAAATCATTCACTAGGTCTGTGGTGATGACCAGAATCTCTATTTTCAACAACGATCCTAGTTGATTCTGATGTAAAATGACCATACATTCATTTTTTTTTTTTAATTTTAGAAATAAGAGGTCTGACAATTTAGTTCATGAACTCATCCTAGAAAAAGTGCTACATACCTCATTGCTTAATATCACTATGGTCACTTCCAAAGTACTCCCCTTGGGAAGCTATGTACCTATGCCAGGGCATAATCCACCCTTCAAAGCAATTTTGAAACTCTGTGGAATGGCCATCAGAGCTGTCGTCGTATTACCCCTGATATCCTGAATGTCATAAAAAAGTCTTCCTTTCAATGTTTCTTTTATCTTTGGGTAAAGGAAAAAAGTCATTGGGGGCCAGATCAGGGGGTTAGGGAGGGTGTTCCAATATAGTTATTTGTTTACTGGCTAAAAACTCCCTCACAGACTGCTGTGCGAACTGGTGCATTGTTGTGATGCAAGAACTCCTTTGGAACCATTTTTGCACACACCTTTCTCATGTCAAGATTTTCAGTTAAGATTTTCCTGTTTCTCTATTGATGTTTATTTGGTCTGCTGTGCTTCTCATAGGCAGTCGATAATTTTGATGCACAACTCAACAAATTTTTCCAATATTTTTGTCAGTTTTGCTGGTCACTGGCCTTCCTGACCTCTCTTCATCAGTGATGCTTTCTCTCCCCTTAGAAAAACATTTAAGCCGGGCTCGGTGGCTCAGCCTGTAATCCCGCGCCTTTGGGAGGCTGAGGTGAGTGGATTGCCTGAGCCCGCGGGTTCGAGACCCGCCTGGG